ATTTCAAAAATTATATTTTACAAAATCCAAACACAAATACAGAATTTAGATCATCTTATATACATATAACATTTTCTTATCTTCCAAAATTTTACAAAACACTACAATATTACTAAATTATTTTTGTCCATCTTAAAATATTATGTTACTTTATTTAAAATATATTATTTTTAATTAAAACAGAAAACAAAAAAAAAACAAATATTTTGGTTATCTGAAATCTGAATTCCAACTAATATTTTGGTGAACACATACTAAAACCGAAGATCAGAATTCAAGTAAATATGGAAAACAATATTCTACCTAGGAAAACAGAAAAGGTAAGTGTGCTACTGCAGAAAAAAAAAAAGTTAAGTTTTGTGTGTCAGGATCTACTTTAAAAATTGTGGTATAATTTCTTAAAGAAGTTCTTCCCTACGTTGGAAGATACCAACTTTGCACTGCTACCACTATTTTACATAGTCATTGGTTTTGATGTAGTCATCGGATACATATTTTTGTTAACTTGCTTTAATGAAATCGTAATTACAAAGTGCAACTATATTCATTCCCATAAATGTTTTCGAATATTTTCATTCTTGTAATTTCTCTGGCAAATTGAACCAGATTATAAAATATTAGATGTATTCAAATAAGCAAAATATTGAAGAGGACAGTAATTCTTAAAAGGTAAAACCAAACTTCGAAAGTAATGGAATAAAGTATACTTTGATAGCGGAAGTATTTTCTTATGTTACTATATCATAATTTATGATTGAAATTTAATCTTTAAACTTTTATAATTTAAGCTATAATATGCTTANATATTGGGATGTTACAGGAACACCCTTATCTTTAGATTATTAGACTAAGAATAAGTCTCAAGGTTTCTTTGCACGTATTTTGGTTGATGTTAATTTTTTATCTTACTTTCCTAATCAAATTTTGGTGGAAAGGTTAGGATTACTGTTTTTTATTAATATAGAGTGTGAGAATTGCCTCTTTTTTTTAAATTGTAAAAGAATTGGTCATTATCTATGTAATTATAGACGATTAGAACAATATGCGAAGGTAATTTCTGGTGGGGAGAAAATGGTTGTCACAAAAGTACAAAACAACTTTATCGTTCTAAGATGATTGGGGCCTAGAATGGGAATAAGGGGGCTCTCCACGACAAGAAAAATTGATATTACCGACAATCAAAATTTGTCGGTAAATTAAAATTATCAAAGGATTATCGACGATAATAAATTCGTTCGTAAAAGAAAATTCAAAATTTGTCGGTAAAATCTGTTAATAATTTAAATTTACCAATAGATTTATTTTTGTCAGTAATTTCAAGAATTTTTGTAGTGTTTTAGGTTTGATTTTAAAGCTTGTGGAAGCTGTTAGACAACCAACTATGGAACCTAATTTGGAACTTATGATCACATTGCAAAAATTATTATTGGAAAGTCTCATTTTCCTATTAACATAATAATTGAAGTGTTCGTTACCTTCACAAAGTCAACTAAAGAAATAAATATTGTGTCTTCTAAACCCAACTCCCTTATCCTCTTCCACAAACACAAACCTCATCCCTTGTTCACCAACAATATTTTATTATGACGAACCTCTCAAATGGCAGGCATCACAGACAATTCATATGGTTACAGTTTATAATTTAAAGTAGAGACCCCTACCACCATGCAATCCCCTACTGTTACACATCCAATAACCCTCTATAAAAAATAATCTAAATTATACATTGTAACATCAAAAGGGATATATGATTTAGACTATTATTATTATAATTTTTTGGTTTAATTTCATTTTTAATTATATCAACTTTATTAGGTGTAATTGTTTTCATTCAATAAATAAATTTTCTATTCACTTATACATTTTTAATTTCATTATTATAAATTCTATAATTAAAAAATATATTTTATAAAAGAAAAACGAAACAAAAACAACTTATTTAAAATATAATTTTTTTAATACATTTTTTAAAATGAAAAAAATTATAAAACTTCTTTACAACTAGGTATAAGCAATTCCTTTACTTTTTAACAACTAACGTTTTCAATATTTAAATAATCAATTCCAAAATACATATATATATATATATATATATATATATATATATATATATATATATATATATATATATATATATATAACTACGAAAACATTTCAAAAATTATATTTTACAAAATCCAAACACAAATACAGAATTTAGATCATCTTATATACATATAACATTTTCTTATCTTCCAAAATTTTACAAAACACTACAATATTACTAAATTATTTTTGTCCATCTTAAAATATTATGTTACTTTATTTAAAATATATTATTTTTAATTAAAACAGAAAACAAAAAAAAAACAAATATTTTGGTTATCTGAAATCTGAATTCCAACTAATATTTTGGTGAACACATACTAAAACCGAAGATCAGAATTCAAGTAAATATGGAAAACAATATTCTACCTAGGAAAACAGAAAAGGTAAGTGTGCTACTGCAGAAAAAAAAAAGTTAAGTTTTGTGTGTCAGGATCTACTTTAAAAATTGTGGTATAATTTCTTAAAGAAGTTCTTCCCTACGTTGGAAGATACCAACTTTGCACTGCTACCACTATTTTACATAGTCATTGGTTTTGATGTAGTCATCGGATACATATTTTTGTTAACTTGCTTTAATGAAATCGTAATTACAAAGTGCAACTATATTCATTCCCATAAATGTTTTCGAATATTTTCATTCTTGTAATTTCTCTGGCAAATTGAACCAGATTATAAAATATTAGATGTATTCAAATAAGCAAAATATTGAAGAGGACAGTAATTCTTAAAAGGTAAAACCAAACTTCGAAAGTAATGGAATAAAGTATACTTTGATAGCGGAAGTATTTTCTTATGTTACTATATCATAATTTATGATTGAAATTTAATCTTTAAACTTTTATAATTTAAGCTATAATATGCTTATATATTTACGTATAGAAATTATAATCTTGTAAATTATAAGTATTTTATTTTTTAATTTAATGATAAAAAAAACTAGCAAACCAACCGAGAAAAGTTCCCGATGTTGCAGCATCTCTTGGGAAAAGACAAACATAATTACTAACAGTAAACTTTTTAACACAAGTTACACAGAACAACACATAAACAGCTTGGACTGAGTTGAATTTTAAACTGTTTTTTTATTTTATTTGAATAAAATTTACAGTATGAGAATTTGTGCATAGAGGAATATTATAACCTTCGAAAAACTAATGAAATATCAACAAAAGCAATAATATATCAACACCACTTACACTGATTTGACCCAGTTTTTTTTAAAGTGAAAATAAAGGTGTCAAACAAGTGTAAGAGGTGCCAAAATATTATTTTCCACATCAACCTAAATGATCGGTTAATCAATAAAAAGTTGTGTAGCAAATCCTATTATAACTTTTCTTCCTTCAAGGAATTCAAAATTTCCTTGTAGACTATCTTCTTGGCTGTGTCCTTAAGAGCATGACCGAGATATTCATAGTGATGAATGATTCCATCAGCTTCTACCTCCATTATATAAGTGGTCACTCCATCTTTTCGCTTCACATCCTTTTGTATAATATTATAATTTCTTTTTTGTATCAATTCTTGCAACTCTCTGATGGGGTGGAGCTTCAATGTATCTGGTGTGACAAGAGGTTCCAAAAGTGGCCTTATGCTTTCCCACACAACCTCTTTATTGTATCCTGAATCAACTAGAATCGCTCCAGCCAAAGACTCTATAATGTCTCCAAGCACCTATCAAACAATAAGAAACTACATTATGTATTTTGTAATGGGTAACACATTGAAACGAATCACGAATACCAAAGAACTAATGATCCTGGGGATGGCCATAAAGCAAGATGGTGTTTGCAAGATGCTATAGCATTGGAGAAGCATAAGATTTTGATCAAATTTACCAACAGTGTTTATCAAGTAAATTTTAACAACTGACCTTAGGAAATGATGTCTCTGACTCGTACCCAAAAGTTGAGGATGAAGACAACTTATCAAAACTGTTTAGTGATATAGAAATATGCTTATGCAGTTCTGGTGAGGTATGGAGTACATGTTTGTGCAAACCATGCTTAATGGCAGACCATGCATAACAATCGTTATTCACAGAAGCTGCTCTCATGTCAGTTAACTGCCCAGGTGACATGCCAGGATATTTTTCGTACAAGTGCCAAGTAATCAGATAATCCAATACTGAATCTCCAAGAAATTCTAGTCTCTGCAGAGCAAGGAGTACATCATTTACAAATAAAGATAATGGAACAAAGTAATAAGAATATGAATTAAAAATGATTGATCATATGAAGAATGTGTTTCATTACTATTTATCAGATCCTAACCAAAAGATAGGGTAGTAAGTAAATATGGGGTTGGAGAAAGTTCGTTCATATATAATGAATTTGTGCTAACGCAGGGTTCCAATGATGAATAGTAAGCATAAGTAAATACCTGATAACATCTAGGAACTTCAGGCAACATGTAAGAACCATGGGTCAGAGCTTCCACTAAAAGAGTACTGTCATGGAATGAGTAATTCAGTTGTGATTCTAAATGGCTGACATTTATCAGTTTCTCTGGTTGAATGTCAAAGTTCCTCTCATAGGGTACTTTATTAAAATTCACTTTAATACCAACCCAATCCATGAACAACAATGCAGCCTTCTCACCACCAGTGATTAGGAAGGCACCAATTAGTGCCTCAACTACATCAGCGATAAGCTTTCGTTTTAATTTTCTTTTTCCAGAAATATAAATTTGTTTCCCTTTGATCATCAACTCTTCTATTTTAAAACTCCCAGATTTATCACCAGGAATTATCCAGGAATGAGGATCAAATGGTTCATTTCGTATGAAACCCTGCAAATAAAAACTAATTCAGAATTCTAATTAATAAAGGGAACAACAATATCAAAGAGAAATAAAGAGGGAGAATACCGGAAGGCCTGAACTGCAGCCTAACCTGCAGAGTGCAGCGTTAGAAATCATCTTTCCCCTTCTAACACTTAGCAGACCTTCATGGTCACTTTCATAGGTTTGATAAAGTTTCTGACTCGCAGCATATTTTAAAAAAGAATCTCCCAGAGTCTCTAGAGATTCGTAATGGAAGGACTCCTTGCATCTTTTAGAAGTTATTGCCTCTAACACCTACAATGCCAATCACAGATATCTTTTGGTGTAAGTAACTTTAAAATATTTGACAACTGCATGAAATAAAAATAATAACTGTAATAATAAATGAATCCACACTTTGAAAGAACACTAAGACAAATTAACCAAAAGATGCTTATGTAGACCATTTCACACAACTGCTTATCTATATGTAAAGTATACAAAAAAAAAACTTGTAAGCTAATTTGTTTTCTAGATTGTAACAGTGAGCAATTGTACACACCTTCATTATTTGAGTTTCATTCTGCGCGCAATGATCCAAATGCATCTTTTTTAAGTTGAAAGCTCCAAGCAATGATTCAATCCGATGCATGATTGATGGAATAAATGAGAAGGTATAAATGATACTATCTTTTATTGGAGACATGATTATAGAACACAGTTCAGGAGGTAATTCAACAAAGGCCTTGCTTGCTTCTGAAATGAAAAACATGAAGTAAGGATTTAGTTTGGGTCGCATATTCTTGGTGTTTAAAGACTAACACCAAACATTTCCGCAACTTTTCTGCACATGAATAAATATATTCAGGCATCCTCATGACATTGATAACACTTGAGATAAAAATATGTTCTTGAGGGCTTGAAAGACACCTCTCATGTTCTGTTATTTATATAGATAAAGAGTTGATACAATAGAGAGATAGAAGGTCAAGTCACTGTCCTAGACTGCTAGGTACAATGATTAGAGATAAACCAACACACTACCCCCTATTTTAGTCCTACTGACTACACTAACAAGTAGACTTAGTAATTATTCTAACAATAACTAAGTTATTGTTAATAGCAGTTACTACCGAAGCGGATGCAAAGTTTATTCATATTAGGATTATAACATTGGGTTTCAGAAATAAGCAAGCCAAAACAGAGATAACTAAGAAGCTTAAAGTTTTGTGCCACACCCAAACAAGTAGAGGCTATTTTCATAGTTTTAATCCAAAGAAACTGTCAGAAGAAATTAGCATTCAAACAAGCCTGATTCCTTTCAATTAAAATCAGAGGGCATGTAATGCCACGTATACATTCACAAAGTAGAGATCAAGGAACAGAATAAAATTAACAAATTGAAAAATCATATCAAACCTCCTTCTTTCCTCTGTTGGCGTCCATCACAATAATTTTTAGCCTGAAAATTGTGTCTTGCTTTAAGAAGCTGCTGATGTTCAAATTGCAATGATATACCGTGACTGAAAATTGGAAACAAAAATAATGATGCACTCTAGTAGAAAAGTAACCTGAGAATAAACATACATAAAAAAATTACTTACTGTTGTTCATAATAATTTTTGTACGTTGTGAATCCACCGGCCCTTAGTTCCAAAGGCGAGTTTCCATCTAATTCCATTACACCAGAGGTGATATAGAAATAATTCTTACCACTAGCATGGGAATTGCAAACCAATGCATCCTGTAGTTTACAAGTGCAAACTAGACCACTTTTTGTCCTAATGTGGGGTTGATGACACTTGCACGTAATATTAGATGCATTTACAGATTTGATAGCTAACCAATTAACAAGTGGTATCTCCCCTTCCCAAACAACTGGAAGCAAAAGATAGTCAATACCAACATTATCTTGCAGATAGCTTTTGTCCAAACCAATTGGCAACTCGTTCATATCATGATGTATGAGAATTCTAAGCAACGTGACCTGGAAATTTTTACACAAAAGAACCTGGAAAACAAAAATAAACAAACAATAAATAATCAAACGCTTTGCTAACCCACTTGCAAATTAGTTGGATAGAATTAAAGGATAACTCAATAGTATACCTCATCTTGCGAAAGATTCATGGTCCCTTTGTATTTTAACTTTACAGACACACTACCTCTGTCAAAACCCATATCAAATTGGGAGCACACAATTTCTGGATCAAGCTCAATTCTCATAGCAAGAAAAATATCTTGCACACAGAGATCATAGCTAAAATTTTGACTGAGTTCCATCAAATAACAATGGTATGTTGTGTCATTATTAGTTGATACACAATTTACCAATCCAAATGGGACGTAAGTTGGTTGGATAGCATCATAAGGTTCATTTCCTGAAAGAAATCGATTGATGAGGAAATCAACCAAAGATTTATGTGGAAGTCGATCAAAGAATTATAAAGACCAACAGTTTATGTTCAAAAACAATATTTAGAAGAAAATAAACTAATAGTCCGAGAAATTAATAAAAGGCATGTAAGTTACCAAATTCTTCAACCTCTGCTGCCTGAATGACAATATCAGGAACAAGATTATCAGTCAGAGCTCCTATCTTATGAAGTTGTTTGCAAGCTTCAAGGCATGCGATATTCTTTAAGAGTTTTTTGTCACCAACTACGCGAATAGATTGCAGAGGACAGCTCTTTGGAAGACACAACGTTCCAGTTTCTTTGTCCCACCTTGGAGTCGGTTTAAAGTATCTGAGAGAGTAATCTAATGGTATAAATGAAAAAGAACAAGATTTGCAATGGGGGAAGCAATGATGCAAAAAGAAAGTATATCTTAAGTTCTTAAAATGAAGGAAGAAAAGCCATGGGGGAAGCAATGAACTAACTAACCCATCTGCAGGGAGGCGTGAGCAGTAAAAGTATATCAAACTGATGCTAGAACTAAGATTTGCAATGGCTCCAGTGCTTGCAACATGATAAGCTTCCTTGTCAAATTCATCAGCTTCAAAAGAGTCGCATGGAAGGGAAGAATGTCTCAAGGACTCCTTCCTCATAATATCCACACTAGCAAGGTATTTCTCAAGTCGAGAACGTGTAGCTGAATCCCCTCTGTAATTTAGAGTAAAATAAAGGATGGTTGTGGAAAAAGTTAACTAGTAAAGTATAATTTGCCACTATATTTTTGTCTCTTGATGCTTAATAATTTGTACTTAACTAAACCAAGCATCAGAGCAATAGGTACTTAGGGAGTAATGTAAAATCAAATACCTCTCAACCATTAATATATAGTCTGAATTTTTCATTCTAGCACGGCCTCGGGACTGTATGAAACTGCACACTGTAGGAGATGGATCAAATCTAATAACTAAATTGCAACTTTGAACATCTAAGCCTTCTTCAAGAATTGATGTTGCAACAATAATGTTGACCTGCATATTAAATTTTATATTGATAAGATCTGTCATTTGGTTCTTACAATACAGTGGACTGTTAAACCCTAAAGCAACATACCAATCCCATTCGAAATTCTTCCACAATTTCATTCTGTTTATTCCTTGACTGATTTTTCAATCCAAAGTTGTGTCCTGCAATGAATTTAGTCTTCCAGCTATTGTACTTTGGAAGCAAGGTATTGAATAAATCTTCAAGTACAATGGCGGTAATGATCCTTTCAACAAAAATTATGCATCTCATGTCTCTCAAAACCCTGCAATTGCAGCAAAAGTAGTAGATCCATCAAATAGTTTTAATATAATCATCATAATAACATTAGAATGATCACTACGTATAATCAAACAACAATAGCCTTATTCCACCAGGACTACATGCAATCAGTCAATCAAAACAGTATGTAGATCAACTAGTTAGAATAAGTTTTCAACACTCATCCCAATCTTAAGCTAACAACGACAGGCTTATATTCTAGAAAATAGAGCCAGCCTATTTGAGGTTAAAAATCAAAGTGATCACAAACTCTACCTGATGTCACCACGTTTTAGAACTTATCATTGTTCCAAAATCAGTAGTGAGTGATAAAATTTCTTATACTTTTTACTGTTGAATGTGTACTTCATTAAAATTTGAATTTAAAATATGGATTCAAGTAGATTTAGCAACCTAAGATCAAAATCAGATAATTGAAATCCAATTTAATTTCATTCTCCTTTTTCTAAAATATTTATGTAATTAAGATAAAAATGAAATTATTCAAAACATACCTTTTTCTTAAATATATTCTATAATCAGGGAGGGTGGTTAACAAAATTTCTCCCAACGTTTGACAAGTAACATTAAATGATAAAATAAGTATTGTAAAACAGTCATCATCAGTAATAGCACAAACATTAGTAAGAAACAAATGATAAAAAAAAAACTTGGTTACAGTTGCATTAGGTTCAGTTGCCCTATCTATAGGGTTGATGCATAAACCAGTACAGATTGAATTAATTTGTAGAATACATTATATTTTCTAAGGCACCTTCTCATCTCATAAGAAACTTAAACAGTCTAATAAGGAGAAGGAGAGTCCAGGGGCACGTCCATAATAATGGCAACACATTAAATGATTTCAGAACCACAATGGAAACAATAAGAAAGGAACATATCCATGATTATAAGTATAACCTGTAATCAAGTATAGAGTCTATAAGACAGCAAACTTTGGAGGTCAACAGCCCCATCTCCAAGTCGAATTTAATATTGTCACCTATAGACCACTTAGCATCTGAGTAAGAAAAGAACATTGTGTGAAAATTAACTAATGCTAGAAATGCAAGCAAAAGATTTATATTTAAGATTTCACCATTTCTCTCAGTGGCTGTAGAATCATTACCACATTGCAAGTAACTTTTTAGTGTGTCTATACAGGCCAAAATAAAGTTTTTAGCAACTTTATCCCCACAGTGTCCCCATGAAAACGAGTCAAATTCACTAGAAGATAAAGAATCAGCAGCCTACCACAAAAACAAGAAAAAACGACAGTTAGCATTTATGAAACCTTAAAGAGACATGAGAGACAGGAAAGTTTCTGCAGGAAATAGGCATGAACCTTCAAAGCCAACCAAACACCAAGCTCGCCCAGACTAAATATCAAAGCACCAAACATCTTTGTTATTCTTTTTTGTGCAGACTCAGCAGCTGATCTAGTGAAATCTGAACTTTCTAGAGTGAGTTCATGCTGAGAAACAGAAAATCCATTGTTAATAACCACTGATGATGACTGTTTTACAATACTTATTTTATCATTGTAAAAAATAAATAACTCATAAAGTAGCACTGGACATAATTGAAACTGTTACAGTAACTAAATACAGTATGATGAAAGTATATTTCAAAATACCTGATTTTTTAACATCTTGAGCTTAGACGCTATTTCTTCAAATAATACAAATTGATTTCCATTGTCATTGTAAAACTTCAATTTTGGTGTTGACGTTGGTATGAACTCAGTGATGACAGCTTCACTTGCACATGTATATACCTTAATTTCAAAATATTTGTCAAGTAAATAATACATAGCAAGACCAAAGGGTTTGCACATGGACACAAACAACTACTGATCACATTAGAATATATCATTTTAACTACATTGTCCCATTTCTTTAAATAAATAAAGAAAAAAAAATTCTGGCATAGCTATAGGTTTCACTTCCTCTAAGCATGTTAACACACAACTGGATCCTAGAAGTAAGAACCTAAGTACTAAAAATAACAATAAAGTACCAAAAAACATAACCCATAAGGTAAGAAAACTTTAATCCCTTTCATGTATCTTTCTTGCCATAAAAGTTCCACTTGGGGCCTTACGAGTACTCTCTATATTTCTACACCGTTTATCCAATTATACCAAGAAGATATAGGACAAGACACATACAACGTAATATCATGAGTAGAAGGAACAAAACAAGAAAAACCATACAAAAGAGGAAGAGCAAAAACTACCTTTGAATGCATTAGAGTCATTAGTTTCCGAATATTCTCTGACAAGGATGATTCAGATTTTCCAACTGGATTAAACAAAACAGGAATTAACATCAGAGAAAACAAAAACCTAGAAATTGAAGGAGCCATAAACTTGACTTGTATACCTTTCGCCTTAATTGGAGATGCAGTCATACCAAAAATTCGAGGGAGGTCAGAGCTACCAGATTGTAACTGGTGATGATAAAACTCCTGCATGAAATCAAATCATCAAAAAAGTAAAAAACTAATTCCAAAGCACACACTAAAACTAAAAGATGCAGATGCATAGAAGATTGTAATTGACTAATATTCTTCAAACAAAATTAATTACAAATCTTACAGAACCAAAATAATTGAAAAAGCATGATACTACTGAACCAAAGTCACCGATTCTAATAATAATCTCGTGTTGCATAGTTTGAGGGCCAGATCAATTACACAGTATAAAATATACGGCAAATTATATTCATGGATAGAAGGAAAATATTTTAACGTCACAAATCAGCCACACTTCACCCAGTACTTTTACGGGTTCAATTTTCCCCTTTGCCCCCAGTCACAAATCCTTCACACTCATTGTATCACCCAATAAAAAAAGAATCTTTAAGGTCAGTTGCATATAATGGTTGGAGGTATAACAACACGTTAATGAAGAAGTCACAACTCAAATATATTATTATACAAAAAATTAGTAAGAAGTTCAAAGACACAGCCCAGTTGAGAGCATGGAGAAAATATCAAACTTACAGTCATGATGCGGGCATAAGGGTGATTACCCCTAGCATGATGGCATTCATCCATTATCAAAACCTTAATCATATTCAGTTTGAGAAAGCTGTGCCTCAAACAATTGAGCAATATTACAGGAGTCATGATAAGCACCTACACATTCAAAAGCATTATTGATATCCATGCAGAAAAAACTAATAATCAGAAGCATCAAAATAAAAGTAACAATTGAAAAAGGTGTCATATTCAAGCAATTGAACAATAGAAAAAAGGAAAACAATTGTCCTCGTTTCCATTAAATTTAATAACAAAGATAGAATGCAAAAATAATGTTATACTATAAGATTTAACCCAGTACAAAGATCAAAAATAAGACGAAATTGCCAAATTTAGACAGCATGTAAGCGATGGATTCCAAAAGGAATTATAAAAAGAGTATGTTATATGGCAATCGATAAAATAGATGAAGAAAATGGAGTATCTCAGTGTTCTCAGAACGTATCGTAATTTCAGAAGCTAAAAACACCACATGCCCAAACGGAGGGTGTTGTGTAGTAAAATCACATAACTTTTATCGAAAATTTGCTTCAAATATACCTTATAGTACATATAGCAATTATAAAGAATCGATGTAAACCAAAGGTTTAGTAAAAAAAATATTGATTATGAGTTATGTAATCTTTATTTCAGAAAAATGAAAACAAGAAATTAATACTTAAAGAGGCATGCATTGAATGTGGTAGTAACAACTACTGAACAACCAAATAGGGTAAGTTCAGAAGTGTTCCTTCAAATCCTTTCCGTTTAATAATTCAAGCTTGTTTGAACGTTAAATTTTTCACTGGAAATGATGAAAGAAAAAAAGTATGAAAAACAAATAAATACCAAATCCTTGAGTTGTGTGATTTATGTCAATGATACAATATAAGATAAATTCATCCATGTATCGTTAGTTTCATAGTCATTTAAAATCCATCTTATAATCGGTAGGTAGTTTAATTGCATCGAATCATAAGATTCAAATCATTAATCGTAAGATTCAAATCTAACAACTACGGAAATAAACACTCAGCCACCTTTTCAAATAGGGGAAAATAGGAATATATCACACATCGCACAAACAAATGGGTTAAGATTAAGCAACGCAGATCGGTAAAAATAAAAAGAAATCTTTCAGTTTTGATAGAATGCAAAAGAACCAGACCTCGTGTTTATCCATTTCTTGTTTCCATGTCGCTGCATCCCAGAAGTCCACTCCCATTTCTCCCCAATACACACCCACTTTCAAATCGGTATGCATTTTCACAACTTCAGCTTGCTAAATTACGAGTGAACAGCAACAAGTTAGAAGATAATGAAAAAAAAAACACAGTGAAAGTACTGATTACATAGCTTCTCAAACAGCACAACAATAATGAATCTCGACTTTGCAAAAGGCATCATAAGATAGAGAGTGCCATACTTGAGCGACCAACACAACTTGGGGAACCAAGAACACTGCAATGAAAGGAGAAGGCTTTCGTAGGTGATGCGCATAGCTGCGAAGAAGCATGATGGCTATCAAAGTTTTGCCCGAACCAGTCTCCAAGTACACAATGGTATTCTCTCGGATAGCTTTGTCCAATGCTTCAAGTTGATAACTACAGGAAATAAAACAAAAAAATAATCAAAAATCAGTTAGAAAGAGATCGTAATCATAAGAACACATTCAACAATGCATGCACTAAAATACCCTAGAAGTTTGAACAATAACATGTGCACATTGAACTCACCTTCGGGCCAATGGAAGAAGATCACGTGTAATCTTCTTCTCCTTGATATGAAGGTGTATACCCATTGAGAGTGCACTTTCTATAGCTTCTTTGCCTTTTTGATCAGCCTGCATTCAAAATCCAATGAAAGAAAAATACCCCATTACAAAAACGATCCCTCTCCTTATCATCGAAGACGAAAACAGTAAAACAAACTCAAACCCAGAACTTGCAGACGCAAATCGAATAAAGGGTAGTGCAAAAGGTTCAAGCTTTACCATCTGATAAATGAGAATGAGTAATGTGGAGTGGAGTGTGTTGTATTTAACAGATTTCCGAAACAAATAATATAGTAAACACATGAAGGAAGTCAAGGGGTCGACATTTTGTTACCAAAAGTAATCGTGAAAAGACACAGTCACTGTAGTAATTAGCAAGAGAGAGAGAGAGAGAAGTAACAGGGAATTTGAATGAATACCGATTCTGTGTCTTCTCTTTCTCGTTTCTCTCGGCCATGCACTGAGAGAGAGAGTGACGATTCCATGACTGAATATGAGAAGGTGAAGCAGTAAGAAAATTTTGGTTTGGAGGAAGAAAGAAGAGTGTGAAGAGAATGGACAAGACTTTGAAATTTATAGAGAAAATATTTGAATAAATCCTTAACCACATAAGTTAGTTTTCATTTTAGTGTCTTTAATTTTTTTATAATTATTAATTCATTTTATCATGACATTTAATGAATAAATCATATTCATTAAATAACAATAGAAAAATATTAAATTTTTTATTAATTATTAATTTAATTATCTTTTAAAATTAATTATTATTTTTATCTTTTTGTTCTGCTAAACTTTAATTAAAATTAAAGTCTATATTTTATAATATAGTCATACTTTAATTTATGGATAATTTATATAATTATTTTTAGGGTTAAATATATTAATGTTTCTAAATTATGATGTGTATTTTGTTTTCATTCTTTTTCTAAAATTTCTTATATTTTTCTTTTTTTCGGTTAGAAAATCATAAATTTAGTCTTTTGTTTCTCATGAGAATGTTTCACTCAATCAAAGTATTCAATCACATAAGTAGTTTATTTACTAGTTAATATAAAAAAATTATTAATTTTATTCTCTTAAATCCTTAAATTTGTTTTGTTGGAAGAAGTTTTAGTTTCGATAAAATAATTTGGATTATCTCTTAGTTGTTTAACTAGTTTAATATTTGAAAAATATTTTTAGATACGTATGGTCTATTTATCATACTCTTAATTATATATTTTATATTTTTTTATGTAATTTTTTTTAATAATGTATCACTATAAGATAGATATTTCATCATTTTTACTTCATTTTAATATATATATATATATATATATATATATATATATATATATATAATATGATGTTTTAATAATTTTATAATTATTTTTATTTTTTTAACTCATTCTCAAAAATATAATTGTATTGCAACAATTATATAAATATAATATAATATTTCAATGACATTGTCATAAAGTTTAAAAGATAAAAGATTTTTTTTTTTAAATTTAAATGGTTAAATATATTTTTAGTTTTGAATTTTGTTGTGAAGTTGGAATTCATCCTTGTTAAAAAATTTGATACATTCTTGTCTTCAAACTTTAAAAATAAATGGATATAGTCATTTTAATTTAATTAGGTTAGAAAAAATGTAATTTGATTAAAATTATTATTTTTATAATTTTTGAAGTTTAAGACTAAAATGAATGAAAGTTCCAGACGAGAATAAATTTCAATTTCAAATAAATTTTAAGGACTAAAAATATATTTAACTCAAATTTAAATTATTATTAATTTAATTTTTTTATTGTTTAATATATTATAATATTTATTAATGTATAAAAGAAAACTTCATTAGGTAAACATAACACTTGAATATTTGTTTTCTCTTTTATAATTTGTTTAAAATATTTTTTAACTTTATCAATTTTAATTAATTGTCTTTAAATATTTTACATTTCAAAAGGTCTTTTAATATGGAATATTTAATGATATTATAATATTCATTATTTTTTTTAATTATTTAATTAATTAATTAATTTTTATTGAAACAGGAGAAAAATAATATGGGCACAGTATGAATATATTAAGTGAAAATAAGAGTGAGGCAAAAATATTTCATACCACTAAGTATGTAGATGAATTTTTTTTCAAAAATGAGATTATAAAACTTATTCCACTTAGTATATCATCCCTAATATAATATTTATTATATTAAAAACTGATTATTAAGTATAAATCAATCTTATAAAACCATCTTAAAAATTTTAATTCATTTAATTCAAAAGTATAAGAGTAGAAGGAAATTTTAATTTATATATTTCAAATTAGAAATTAGTTTATATTTTTATAAAATTTAATAAGCATTAATGTTTTTATTCCACCATTGAATGAATAAACCATAATCATTAAATATATATAGGATGAAATTTAAAGTTTTATTAATTATTAATTTAATTATCTTTCAAAATTAATAATTATCACGTTGTTTTTATCTTAAAAAATTTAGACTTAAAGTTAATGTTTTTTAATTTGATCATAATAGTACAAGCCGGATTTCAATCCATAGAATTTGATATTTTCTTTAAGAGTGTATTGTACAAGTTTAAATAAACCTTATAAAAATTAATTTATGAGATAAAATTTGCATTTATATACTATAATTTGATTATAAATTTAAATAAGTTTAAAACTTCAAATTTATTTTATATTTAAGGTTATGAAATTTTTATATATTTATTAGAGAAATATATACTATCATATGACGTTACATTTTTTTATTAGAGAAATATATGTATTAGGTGGGTTCGTGAGCCAACGGATTCAACCCGATGAGCCGGATTGAAAACTAGTCTGCATGAAAAATTACATTTTTTCAAACCCAACTCGACTCAAACCCGTGGTGGACCGGGGTTGACTGGCGGGTTTCAATCTATTTTGACAACATTACAATTGGTTAAGTGTTATAGGAAACATAACAACAAAGCCAGAGAAGCAATATAAAAAATCATTCTAGGAAACAACATGAATTTTTTGGTTAAGTAGAAATGAAGATTAGGTACAAAAGGACAAAGATCATGGAATGATATTTTAAGGTTTAAATCCTCAGATCATCCTCATATTTGTTAGGGAATCCCTAGCTTCATTCCTCCTCACCTTGAGAGTATCTCATCCTCTGTTAACCTCATCAGCCATGATCAACTTCTCTTTGCTAACCAGCACCGTAAAAACCCCAAAATGGTGAACTCTAAATCATTCATGTTCTGTTCACCACCGCTCCTCTCTTTATCATTGTTTTGTTCAACACCGTAAAAACCCCAAAGTGGGTTTAGGGTTTTGGTGTATGAAAGAAATTGAGGATGAATTTGATGGGTGGAAGAAATGTCACGCAATGCAGAAACTTTGCATCTTAACTTTCAATATGCAGTATAAAAATGGGTGGAAGAAAACTGATTGGGATCAGTGAGAAATTGGAATCAGAGATCGATGGAAGAGAGAGAAAGCCTTAGGGCCATGTGCTCGCGGTTGTTCGTCAATGGAGGATGCGAGACTTGAGTTTCTGTTTCTGGCTCTCCTTGCAAGTCTCAAAGCAGACTGAAGGAAGATGATGTTCGCGATGGAGGGCGCGAATCGCAACTGTGATGACGACTTCCTGGGTTCTTGTTCTTGGATTCTGTTTTGGATGCAGATTGCGTTTGCATTTTCTGTATTTCCTTTCGCAAATTGAAGGCACGATGAAGGCGATCGCGGCAACGTCGTGGTCGTGGTGGATGGCGGTCTTGCAACGGTGGCGGTTCGACAGTGGCGGCTAGGGTTTCTGTCTAAAGGGAAATTAAGGTTTTTGGAGGTAGGAGACGATGGGTGATGATGTGGCAGGCTAAAGGGCAATGATTGGTTGGAGGAATAAATTTTGCCACGTCAAAAACTCTTAATTTAAAAAAAATCCACATAATAAAACACTCTTACATTAACGTGCACCACGTCATCACATTTTAACGTCGTCTGTGACAACTTAACGGACAAAGCTTAATTGACTTAATTTTTCAAATATTCACACCTAATAACGAGACCCAATTAAGATTATCCAACAAACATGAGGACGAGCAGAGGGTTTAAATCATATTTTAAAATCCAAATTAAGATCATTGAAAGCTTAAATAAAGGAAAGATTGGACAAAGGGAATCTCGTTGGTGGAGTGATTTGTTCAAGGTATATTGATTGGATGAAGAGTGCTACATTCTGGTTTAAGGAGTGTATGATTGGGAAAGTGAAGATTGGGACTAGGATAATGTTTTGGGAAGATGTATGATTCCGAGATAAATCACTTCAAGATTCGTATCCTAGATTATATGAAAATTCAAACAAAAAAACTAATAATAAGTGAATGTGGGAAGTGAGAAGTTGATAAATGGGAATAAGACATGTGTTGGAGGATGGAATGGTTTGAAAGAGAAAAACCTCAACTTTAATAATTTACAGAAGACATTGAAATGATAATGATTAATAGGGGATAAGATGAGAGCATTCACAATTCTTTGATAGTTTATGTAAAGTAAAAATATTTCATCAACATAATACTTTGCATGACGTTCTATATCAAACGGCATAAAGAATGATTTTCTCATTATTAAAATTCGGCAACTAAAACAATGACAAAAATAAAACAGAATTTTTTTTCCGAAAAATCCTTAAGTTCTATAGAAAAAAATGTAAAAAGATTTGAAAGTGCATATCTATCAATGTTATCAATTTTGAAAGTTGGACCATTAAAAAAAGAATGAGTTTTCAACTTTAAAATAAAAAAGAAAATGAAAGAATTGAATAATGGAGACATTCAGAACCTTAGAAATTTACTTTTCTAACTTTATAGACAACATATCAAATTAGGATTTTAACAAAAAAAAAATAATTGAAAAGTAAAAATTAAATTCTAATACGTATTTAATTATAAGAGAAGGTCGTGGTAATATTTTTTAAATTCATAAAGAGACATAAAATAGTTTATTTTATAATTACAATTTAGTTGGTTTTTCATTATTATTATTGTTAATTTACAACTGTTAAACTTTATGGGTTAGTTATTGTACTTGTATACTTGTGCAAAATATTATTGGCTAAGTTTACCTTTAGAAGATAAAGTTACAATGAATTTATATAACTATTTTTTAAAGTTAGAAGATAAAATTTCCATGACTTTATATGGATATTTTTTAATTATTTAGATGAATCTAGAAAACATAAAAAGTTCTACAGTTATTTAAACTTTTTTATTTTTCCTATTTGTTAACATATGTAATTTCCTATTTGTTAACATATCTAATTAAAGTTGAATATTTAATGCATTAAACTCAATCTAATGTAAAATTAAATTTTATAAGTTTTGTAAAGTTATTGCTAATTTCATTTGATTTTAAAAAATAAAATATAACTATATAATCTAAATAATTGTTACTTTTAAATTTAGTGTAAATATTGCACTTATATGTACTATTTTACAAACAATTAAATTATTCTTTTACATCCAACTCTTCCTTTTTTAT